GCCCGCGGTGTCCCGCCGCACCGCTTCCCTCCCCGGGCGGCGGTGACCCGCGGCCGTGGCTCACGGGAGCCAGGTGAGGAGCCTAGCCCCGGCCGAGATTACAAGGGTTTGTTAGTTGCTCCCTTTCCCCCCCGCACACGCTAATTAAGCAAGGTAATAATTTATCATGTGCTCTGCTGATGTGATTTAGTGCAACTTGTCTTGTCAAGCCTGTTCCAGTGTTTAGCGTGTAAGTTAGCTTGTGCTTTCTAACAGCACATTAAAAAGCCATTTTCTTAAAACCCCAGACTCCGGGTGGTTAGGAAGCCCACGCTCTTTATCTTACTTGGCTAATGGTGCAAACAGCTTTTGAGTACCTCATCTCAGGTGTGCCAGCATTACAGATTTTCTCTACCTGTCTGCTCAGACAGCGACAAAGTTTTGAGTAGTTAACAGTAAACAAAAACGCACAAGTGCTGATGGACTTCGATTTTTTTCAGAGAACTGAATATTCTAATGTAATTTGCTGTATTTCCTCCTCTTAGTCAAATCTGAAATTCATGTGCCTCTGGTCAAAGCATCATGGTTGATTTGGGTTTAATCAAAGGGTTCATCTCTATGTTTATCTCTGTGAACAACTTTAGTATTAGGGTGATCACTTCGTTTGAGTTGCACTATTAATGAGTATGCCCTGCCTTGGCGTGAAAGAGGTCTTAGATGTGCATGGTTGAACTACATAACTATGGTAGACCTTACATGCTTCACTCACTACTGGTGGTGTCACGGCTATGTTGCAGGGAAAAAACTGTTAACAGAGGGGAATACCGTCTCTGCTAAATGGTGCTTTGTGAACCCCCTCCTGCTTAAAGGTCAAAATGCTGAGGTCTCCAAAACTCACCTTCAGACTTGCTTCCAATGCAAGGACAAAGAGCAGATGTAGGATTAGGAGTTTGAATGTGTATGTGTGTACACATATATACATCTGTGTATATATAAAATTGACAAGCTGTTCACACTGGTAAGTGCACAGCATTGTATCCCCGTTAGAGTAGCAGTATTGAACGGAGAGAAATGGTGATGATGGGACAAGTCTGCTGCTCCTGTTGCAGACTGGTTATACTGGACAGGCTCAGGCGGACGCACCGTGGCAGCCGCTGAGCAGTCAGCGTGCAGGTGCTGGTGGCAGAAAGGAACCTTGGGAGCAACCAGCGAACCCGACTTACGTCTGTCCGAGTCAATTTGCACGTGCTGATTTATGTCCATCTGGGTCAACTCACATGTGGTTCCTGGCAGAAGCGTTTGGGAAGTAAATGTAGGCCAGTGGCTGTATGCTGTCAGTGAGGAGTATGGTGGTAGTGATTTTTTTGAGGGATCCCAGATAACGTTGTTATCAAGCTGTCTGTCAAAGTCACTATGAAATCAGCCGGTCTGCAGTGAATGGTCAGTCAGATGATACCTGTACTTCCTGTAGGCCTTTCAACATGCAAAACTGGATGTTTTACATTTGAGATAAACAGAGGACTTTCCTCCCTGCTGTTTTGTGCACCTGCATCCAGCTGTGCGAGATGAGCTGCAGAATGCTGTGGGAGGTACGTGTGGGAAAGAGAGAGGGGACATGGCATTTTAATTGCCTTATTCACAATTAACTTGAAAACCACAGATTTAATATTTATCTGCCAACTGTTGGTGATCAACAAGACCATGGGGAATCATCCACAGCCAGTATGTTTATTCTTAGGTACAAATACTTATACACATACATGCCACTTATAGAAAATGTTGGGAATTGGTAGTGCTCTACAACCTAAAAAACGGAAATTGCTGTTCTTCATAAAGAACTAGAAAAACAAAAAGGAAGAAATTGAGGTATAGGGAAAG